CCTGAATATAATGATACATGAACACTGCTTCCTGAATACAATGATACATGAACATTGCTTCCTGAATATAATGATACATGAACACTGCTTCCTGAATACAATGATACATATATGTTTTTATATTCTTGAAACACAGTGCGTCACAAATTCGTCTTTTAGTTTGATCATACCCTGCATAAGCTACTGAATAGTGTGTCATAATTCTTCTTCAGTTATAGTTTATTGAATTCAATGTTAGCTGCAGGATGTTCTATTTCCGGAACACAGTGTTGCACAGATTCATATTGCATCACGATCATATCCTGGAGAAAATACTGCATAGAGTGCCATCTTTTTCTTCTTAATCATACATTGTTAGGCTAAAATATTGTTTCTTGTATAGTTGAAAAATATCTTGAACTTTCGTTATTAAGAATACTACTTTTATTGTGTATATCATATGTAACGTGAGTGTATTGATGGAAAACCTTTTATCTACTTTGTTTTCTTGAAGTAAATTGTGCAGATTGTGTTGTTACTTAGAATTATTTTTTTACTGTTCACTTCAAAGACATGCTTCACATTTTATCAAGACGATTCGTTTCTCTCTTATCTATTTCATGCATAATTATTCGAACGTATTGTTGGATATCATGCATAATTACTTGAACGTATTGTTGGGTATTATGCATAATTACTGGAATGTGTTGTTGGATATCACACGTAATTACTCGAACGTATTGTTGGATATCATGCATAATTACTGGAACATATTTTTTGGTATCATATATAGTTATTCGAACGTATCGTTGGGTATTTATCATACATAATTACTCGAACGTTTTGTTGGGTATCATACAAAATTACTTGAGCGTATTTTTGGGTATCACACATAATTAATTGAACGTTTTGCTGGGTTTTCATATATGATTGCTGAAATATATAGTTGGTAAAGTTATCATCTACCTATCTTTATACGTTCTGAATTTATAGTCAGAGCATTGTTTGTGAAATGTATTTATTTCCCCTCCTACATATACATAGTCTGTTGATCTGGTTCTAACCACACCTGTGTGGTTTTTGTTTCATAAATTGAGTTCCTGATTAACTTACATATTCTAGGAAGCGGTTTTATTACATTTGGGTTTGATTTTTTTAGGTGGGATCAATACTTTCCACGTAAACCCTATTACTTCAGAGCATCAGAAAGAGGGAACTTTGTCATCAGCTGTAGAATGTAGTTTTATTTTGTAAAAAAGAAAAAAAAACACTATACGATGTAATTAGTCTCAAAAAATGCAATCAAAGCGTACCTTAATGATGCGAAGTTTCTGGGCTTGGATAAACAGCGACATCGCCACATTTTACAAATATTTTCTTACAAGTAATGAAACACCGTGTCCAAAGCTTAGGTAGTTGTAACTGAGATACATGTATTATATCGACCAGTGACAAAGTGTTTTATATATGAATGTATAGAAGAGATAATAAGGAGATAATAATTAACGATTTTATATCTCTGATAATATGACGAGTAATATACTAATCCAGTGGTTTGAACCCAAAAAATCTAATACTTATATTTTATAATACTTTACTAATTCCGTCAGACAGAAGCATAACACATTTTCATCATTCTTCTGTTAAAAATTAACCATTGTTTAAAGCACAGACAAATCTATAAGCATAGAATAATAAATATAGACTTATATATAACCTGAATTACGATATCTTAAAAAAATATTAAAATATTACGATTTTAATGTATTGTTCGAATTAGAGGTTTCTACTAAAACTGACTCTTACTAATACCCCATAACGTGACATTTAACTTGTTCCTACAACCCTAGGTGAAATATCTTATATTTTCCCCACTTGTCTGAAATACAATTTCCACTAAATCTGGCTTATATCCAATATTCAATATAAATTAATTCACTGGCTGCGTCTTAAATCTACTGCCCGAATTATAGTATTCCTCGAATTTGGCTGTTGTCTAATATTTCACATAATATACTTCACTGGTTCCGGCTTAAATCTACTGGCCGAAATATAGTATTCCTCGAATTTGGCTATTGTCTAATATTTCACATAATATACTTCACTGGTTCCGGCTTAAATCTACTGGCCGAAATATAGTATTCCTCGAATATGGCTATTGTCTAATATTTCACATAATATACTTCACTGGTTCCGGCTTAAATCTACTGGCCGAAATATAGTATTCCTCGAATATGGCTATTGTCTAATATTTCACATAATATACTTCACTGGTTCCGGCTTAAATCTACTGCCCGAATTATGGTTTCCCACTCAATCGGATTTTTACCTAATACTTTATAAGTAACATTCGACTACTTTTGACTTCTATTACTCGGACTACTAAACAAAATTATCGTTCTAAGAATATGCGACACATAAGTTGTCTAACTTGATATCTCGATATGTAATTGTTCACGAAATGTAGTTTCTGTTGAGGACTTTTTTTTCAAGTTAAATTTTCATCTATATATATATATATATATATTAACCTGTATGAAACGCT